CAACCGTTACTGTATACCCCTCACTTCCTGAAACAACAAGAACAGTTACTGTATACCCCTCACCTCCTGAAACAACAGTTAATATATACCCCTCACTTCCTGAAACAACCGTTACTGTATACCCCTGACTTCCTGAAACAACCGTTACTGTATACCCCTCACTTCCTGAAACAACAGTTACTGTATACCCCTCACTTCCTGAAACAACCGTTACTGTATACCCCTCACTTCCTGAAACAACCGTTACTGTGTACCCCTCACCTCCTGAAACAACAGTTACTGTATACCCCTCACTTCCTGAAACAACCGTTACTGTATACCCCTCACTTCCTGAAACAACCGTTACTGTGTACCCCTCACTTCCTGAAACAACCGTTACTGTATACCCCTCACTTCCTGAAACAACCGTTACTGTATACCCCTCACTTCCTGAAACAACAGTTACTGTATACCCCTCACTTCCTGAAACAACAGTTACTGTATACCCCTCACTTCCTGAAACAACAGTTACTGTATACCCCTCACTTCCTGAAACAACCGTTACTGTATACCCCTCACTTCCTGAAACAACCGTTACTGTGTACCCCTCACCTCCTGAAACAACAGTTACTGTATACCCCTCACTTCCTGAAACAACCGTTACTGTGTACCCCTCACCTCCTGAAACAACAGTTACTGTGTACCCCTCACTTCCTGAAACAACCGTTACTGTGTACCCCTCACTTCCTGAAACAACAGTTACTGTGTACCCCTCACTTCCTGAAACAACCGTTACTGTATACCCCTCACTTCCTGAAACAACCGTTACTGTGTACCCCTCACTTCCTGAAACAACAGTTGCTGTATACCCCTCACTTCCTGAAACAACCGTTACTGTATACCCCTCACTTCCTGAAACAACCGTTACTGTGTACCCCTCACCTCCTGAAACAACAGTTACTGTATACCCCTGACTTCCTGAAACAACCGTTACTGTGTACCCCTCACTTCCTGAAACAACAGTTACTGTGTACCCCTCACTTCCTGAAACAACCGTTACTGTATACCCCTCACTTCCTGAAACAACCGTTACTGTATACCCCTCACTTCCTGAAACAACAGTTACTGTATACCCCTCACTTCCTGAAACAACCGTTACTGTATACCCCTCACTTCCTGAAACAACAGTTACTGTATACCCCTCACTTCCTGAAACAACCGTTACTGTATACCCCTCACTTCCTGAAACAACCGTTACTGTGTACCCCTCACTTCCTGAAACAACCGTTACTGTGTACCCCTCACCTCCTGAAACAACCGTTACTGTGTACCCCTCACTTCCTGAAACAACCGTTACTGTGTACCCCTCACTTCCTGAAACAACCGTTACTGTGTACCCCTCACCTCCTGAAACAACAGTTACTGTATACCCCTCACTTCCTGAAACAACCGTTACTGTATACCCCTCACTTCCTGAAACAACCGTTACTGTGTACCCCTCACTTCCTGAAACAACCGTTACTGTGTACCCCTCACTTCCTGAAACAACCGTTACTGTGTACCCCTCACCTCCTGAAACAACCGTTACTGTGTACCCCTCACTTCCTGAAACAACCGTTACTGTGTACCCCTCACTTCCTGAAACAACCGTTACTGTGTACCCCTCACCTCCTGAAACAACAGTTACTGTATACCCCTCACTTCCTGAAACAACCGTTACTGTGTACCCCTCACTTCCTGAAACAACAACAACAGTGGATGTAGGTTCAACCCGTATGAAACTGTCTTTAATGTTGTGCTCCATGTTGGTTCAACCTGTATAAAGCTGTCTTTAATGTTGTGCTCCATGTACTGTAGGTTCAACCTGCATGAAGCTGTCTTTAATGCTGTGCTCCATGCAGGTTCATCCTGTATAAAGCTGTCTTTAATGCTGTGCTCCATGCAGGTTCATCCTGTATAAAGCTGTCTTTAATGCTGTGCTCCATGCAGGTTCATCCTGTATAAAGCTGTATTTAATGCTGTGCTCCATGCAGGGTGAAATCCTACATTTAATGAAAACCAAAATGGTGTAAAGGATAAGAGCAATCAATCTATGTTGATTGCTAATATGTGTGTAGGTGTGTGTCTGTGTGTGTGTGTGTATGCGTGTGTATGCGTGTGTATGCGTGTGTATGCGTGTGTATGCGTGTGTGCTAAGTAAGTACATGTCTGTGTCTGTGTGTGTATGTGTTCCTGTGTGTGTGTGTGTGTGTGTTGTGTGTGTGTGCGTGAGTGCTAAGTAAGTACATGTGTGTGTGTGTATGTGTTCCTGTGTGTGTGTGTGTATGTGTGTGTATGTGTTCCTGTGTGTGTGGTGTGTGTGTGTGTGTGTGTGTGTGTGTTGTGTGTGTGCGTGAGTGGTAAGTAAGTAAGTGTGTGTGTGTGTGTATGTGGGTGTGGTGTGTGTGTTCCTGTGTGTGTGTGTGTGTTTCTGTGTGTGTGTGTGTGTGTGTGTTGTGTGTGTGTGTGTGTGTGTGTGTGTGTGTGTGTGTGTGTGTGTGTGTGTGTGCGTGAGTGCTAAGTAAGTAAGTGTGTGTGTGTGTATGTGTTCATGTGTGTTTGTGTGTGTTTCTGTGTGTGTGTGTGTGTGTGTTTCTGTGTGTGTGTGGTGTGTGTGTGTGTGTGTGTGTGTGTGTATGTGTGCGTGAGTGCGTTTGCCCCACCTGTATGAAAGCGTCCTTGGCCTGTATACGGCTGAAGACCTGTTGTCTCTGGGAGAAGTGCAGTCCTCCTAACTGCCATCTGATCTGGACCAGTCCTTTATAGTCTGCATCCTCCAGACGCTCTGCAAAAAGCTCTGTAAATTTCTACACACACATTAAGGAGCAAAAAGGCATTAGAAATAAGCGTTTAGAAATAAGTGCTAAACAGTGTAACTTTACATTAAAATATATTTAAATGTAACATGATTATATAGTAGTTATAGTGTTGCAGTAAAAGTTGAGAAGGTTAACGCTCTAAATGAATAAATCAATCAATCGATCAATCAATCAATAGAGGAACCTTGATGCTCTCCACCAGTGATCCAGGGGGAGGTTCTTGCAGGGCGATGGTCTCAGACGTGTCGATCGCAAAGTACACGTCTATAGGACACTCATGTTTCCCTGCAGGACACACACACAACCACGTTAGAACATGTTAACACACCACACACACACAACCACGTTAGGACATGTTAACAACACACACACAACCACGTTAGGACATGTTAACACACACACACACAACCACGTTAGGACATGCTAACAACACACACACACACACACCACGTTAGGACATGTTAACACACACAACAACACAACACGTTAGAACATGTTAACACACACACACACACACGTTAGGAAGTAACACACACACCAACAAAACCACGTTAGGGAATGTAACAAAAAAAAAAAAAACACAAACAACACGTTAGACATGTTAAAACAACACACACAACCACGTAGGCATGTTACCACACAACACACACAACCACTTTAGGACATGTTACAACACACACACACACACACACAACCACGTTAGGACATGTTAAACCACCCACAAAACACAACAAAAAAAACAACACACACAACTCCCCGGTTTAATGAAAGGGGGGGGGGGGGGGGGGGGGGGGGGGGGGGGGGGGGGGGGGGCGTTTTTTTTTTTTTTCCTGTTTTTTTTTTTTTAGGGGAGGGGAAAAACCCCCCCCCCAAAGGTAAAAACCCCCCCAAACCCAAAACCCAAACCCCCCCCTTCCCCAAAAACCAACCCAAACCCCAAAAAAAAACCCCACAAAAAGGTTTAAAAATTTTAAAAAAAAAAATTTAAAATTTTTAAAAAATAAATTGTCCCCCTTTTAAAAAAACCCCAAAAAAAAACCCCACCCCCCCCCAACCAAAGCTCCTTTTAAATTTTGGGGCCCCCTTAAGCCTCCCCCAAAACCCCCCCTTCCCCATTTTCCACCCCCCCCCCCCAAACCCCCATTTCTTTCCCCCCACCCCAGGAAACCCCCCCCACCCCCTTGGCTTTTCCCACCCCCCCGCCACCCCCCCCCCTTTTCTTTTAACCCCCCCCCACACCCTTTAGGCCCTGTTAACACACACACACACACAAAAAACCAGTTAAAACGTAACAACCCCCCACAACACAAAAAAACCCCCCACACACCCAACCACGTTAGGAAGGGGAAAACACACACCACCCCCCCCTTAGGAAAATTTAACCCCCCCACACACACAAAACAACCAAACACACAAAACCAACACACACACCAAAACCCTTAGGACATGTTAACACACACACAAACCCCAAAACCACTTAGGCATTTAACCACCCAAAACACACAAAACCACGTTGGGGAAAGAAAAAACCCACAAAAACCCCCCCCACAAACAAAAAAAAACCAAAAGGGGAATTTTAACACCACACACACACAACAAAACAACACAACAAAACAACACAACAAAACCCCAACCCAAAAACCCCACCACCCCCCCAAAACAAACACCCACACACACAACCATTTTTAACAAACACAAACACACACACACCCCCAACCCCCCACAAAAACACAAACCCGAACCCACCAAACCCCACAAAACACACAACACACACCACACCACCACAAAACCCACCCACCCACACAAAAACCACAGACATGTTTAAACCCCACCCCACCCCCACCATTTTGGGGAACAGAAACACACAAAACACACACAACCCTTGGGAAATGTAAAAAACCCCCACCAACAAAACCCACTTATCAAACAACAAAAAACAACACACAAACCCCCTTGGGAAATTTTAAAACACCACCAAAAAAAACCCGTTTGGGGGGAAACAAAAACAAAACACAAAAAACACACCCACAAAAACACACAACCATTTGGACTGTAACACACACAAAAACACACCCCTTGGATTTAAAAACACCCAAACACACACAAACCATTTTTTTAACTTTAAAACCCAACCCCAACCCCCCAAAACACAAACAAAAAACAAAACAACAACACACACAACACCCACCCCCCCAAACACCCGGAAAAACAACCCCACAAAAAAAAATTTAAAAAAAAAACCCCCCCCCCAAACACCCCGGGAAAAACAACAAAAACCCCCCAAACACCCCCCATTTCCGGCCCCCCAACCCCCCCCACACAACCACATACAAACAAACAAACCCCCCACACAAACACAAACCACAACAACCCCCAAAACCCCACACCCCCACAACCCAACACACCACAACCCCAAAAACCCCTTTTTGGACTTTTTTCCAACACCCACACACACCCCCCTTTTTCCTTTAAACCACACCCCCCCACAAAAACCCCAACCCCTTTTTTTCCCCCCCTTTTACACCCACACCCCAAACAACCACAACAAACACACAACACAAAAACACACAACCACCACACACAAAACCCATTTTTTAAGACATTTTTAAACCACACCCCCAACACAACCACGTTAGGAATGTTAACCCAACCACCCACCACAAAACCGGGGGGAGGGGAACAACAACACCACCCCCCAACCCCCAACAAACCACAAAAACAACCAACCATAGGACAGAAACCACCACCACACAAACCCTTTGGGCATTTTAAAACACACCACACACCCACACAAAAACCCCCCTTAATTTTAACCACAAAACCCCCCAAAACACCAACCCCCAAAAAACTGTTAACACACCACCCCCAAACACACACAACCACAACAAACAACACAACACACACCCAACCACTTTAACTTTTAACACACCCCCCAAAACCCCCAACCCCCCCCTTTTTTACAGAACCCCCAAAAACCCCACACAAACCACTTTAGGACATTTAAAACCACACACCACACACCCCCAATTTGGGACATTTTAACAAACAACACACACCCCCAACCCACTTAAAACATTTTAAACCCACAACCCAAAAACCCACCATTTTGGGACTTTAACACACAACACCCCAAAAAAACCCACGTTAGGACATGTTAACAAAAACCCACACAACCACGTTAGGACTGTTAAACACACACACACACAAAAACCCCAAAAACACACCCCCAACCCACACACAAAACCACAAACAACACCCCCCCCACACCCAACCCTTTGACATGAAACCAACAAAAACCCCCCAAAACGTTAAATTTAAAACCCCCCCACCACACCAACCATTTAGGACTGTAAACCCACAAACCACACAACAAAAACCCACACCCCCCCACACACACACCAAACAAAAACCCACACACCACCTTTTTCCCCCCACCCCCCTTTTGGCATTTCCCCAAAAAAAAAACCCCCCCCCTTTTCTTTAAAACCAAAAAACCCCCCCCACCCCCCCTTTTTGCCTTTTAACCCCCCCACACCCCCAAAACCACTTAACATTTTACACAAAAAACCCCCCCAAAAAACCCCCCATTGGGACTTTTAAACCAACCCCCCAACCAACCTTTTTTCATTTTACACACCACCACCACAACCACTTGGGACATGTTAACCCCCACCCACCACCCCCACCACACCCCACTTGGACAGTTAACACACCAACACCACCCCCAAAACCCCAAAACACAAACCCACAAAAAACCCACGTTGGACATTTTAAACCCCACCACCACAAAACGAACCCAAACACACACAACCAACACACACAAACCCCCACTTTAGGACATTTTAAACCCCCCACCCCCCACACAAACCACAACCCAAAACCCCACACAAAAAACCAAAAACCCCCGTTGGGAAAATTTAAAACACACACCCCCCAAAAAAAACCCTTTTAATTTTTTTTAAACAACACAAAAAACCCAACACAACCACTTAAATTTTAAAAAACCACCAACACCACACCACAAAACCCCCAACAAACCAAAACACACACACACACACAACCACTTTAGGAATTTAAAACCACACACCACAACCACTAGGACTTTTAAAAAAAAAACACACAAAAAACCCACGTTAAACGTTAAAACCACACCAAAAAAAAAAACCCAAAAAAACCCCAAAAACGAGGAAAACTGTTAACACAAAAACCCCAAAATTTGGGACATGTTAACACCCCACACACACAAACCACTTAGGACATTTTAACACACACAACCCACCCAACCCCCAAAAAAAATTTACAACCCACCACCAAAACACTTTGGGACTGTTCAAACACACCACAACCCCCCAAAAAAACACACCCCCCAACCCCCCCCCCCCTTTGGACATTTAAACAAACCCACACCCCCAAAACCCACTTTAACATGTTAACACACACAAAACACACCACAACCACTTAGGAAAGTTAACCACAAAACCAAAAACAACCCTTTTAGGACATTTTAACACACACCCAAACACACAACCCGTTAGGACTGTAAACACCACAAAACCCCACAAACCACGTTGGGAAATTTTTTAAAACACACACACACACAACCCCTTTTAGGACATGTTAACCAAACAAAACAAAAAAAACTTTTAGGACATGTTAAACACACAAACACAAAAAAACTTTTAGGAATTTAAACACCAAACACACAACCACGTTGGGACTTTTAAAACCAACAAACACAAAACCCTTAGGAATGTTAACACCACACCACAAAACCCACTTTAGGAATGTTAACACCAAACCACAACAACCACGTTAGGACATTTTTTAACACACAAACACCCCAACCATTAGGACATTTTAAAACAACAACCCCCAAACACACCCGGGCCCAAACAACCCACACACACAACCATTTTTAGGACAAAAAAAAACCCCACAAAAAAAAAACCCAAAAAAAAAACAACACAACCACTTGGGAATGTTAACACAAAACACAACAAAAACCCCAACAAACCACCACACCACACAACCACTTGGACATGTTAACACCCACACCCCACAAAACCAGTTAGGAATTTAACACACCCCAACCCCCAACAAACCATTTAGGACTGTTAACACACACACACCACCCCAAACCCCCACTTAGGACATGTTAACCACCCCAACACACACAACCACGTTGGGACTTTTAACACAAAACCACCACCCAACCACTTAGGACTTTTAAACACCAACAAAACCCCAAAAAACAGTTAGGACATGTTAACACCACACAAAACCACACAACACAACAAACACCCCACACAAACAACCAGTTGGGCATTTAACACACACACACCCACCACACACAACCACGTTAGGACATTTAACACCCCCACACACAACACACCAAAAAAAGGGGACATGTAACACAAAACCCAACCCCAAAAAACCACTTTAGGAATGTTAAACACACAACACACACCACAACCCTTTGGGGCAAAACCCACACCACCCCAAAACCACGGGGACGGGAACACCACCCCCGGAACAAACCACCCCACCCCCCAAATTAACATTTAAACACACACCCCCCACACAACCACTTAGGAATTTTAAAAACACACCACACACCACACAACCACGTTGGAAATTTTAACACACCACAACACACCCAAACCGTTAGGACTGTTAACAAAAAAAAAACCCCACACAACCACGTTAGGACATTTAACACACACACCCCCCAACACACCCATTTTTGGACAGTTAACCACACCAACACCCCAAACCATTTTAGGAATGTTAAACACCCAACCAACCAGTTGGAATGTTAACCCCCAACCCCCAACCCACACAAAACCACTTTGGGACATTTTAAACACAACCCCCACCCACAAACCACTTAGGACATTTTTAACACACACCCACACAACCCGTGGGACATTTAAACACAACACACCCCAACAACCCCATTTTTAGGCCCTTTTTAAACACACACACAACACACACAACCATTTTTAGGACTTTTTAACACACCCACACACACCAACCAGTTAGGACATTTAAAAACCCCCAAACACCCACCCCCAACCACTTGGACATTTTAAAAACACACACCCCCCAACCCCTTAGACAGTTAACACACACCCCCACACAAAAAACCCCGTTAGGACATGTTAACCACCCACACAAAACCGTTAGGAAAATGTTAACAACCACACACACACACACACAACCACTTGGAACATTTAAACCCCAACACACACCCAAAACACCACAACCATTTTTCCCTTTTAAACCCCAACAACCCACACAACCCGTTGGGGAAATTTTTAACCCCACACACACCACACAAAAAACCCTTTAAGGACATGTTAACCACACACAACACACACCCAAAAACCACTTTAGGACATTTTTAACACACCACAACACACAAAACCAGTTAGGACTTTAACAAAACCACACACACACACAACCACTTTGGAAAATGTTAACACACACCACACAACCACGTTGGGACATTTTTAACACACCACACCACCCAATTTAGGACATTTTAACACACACCACAAACCACGTAGGACATGTTAACACACCACCACACACAAACCACGTAGACTTTACAAAACCCACACACAAACCCCAAACCCATTTTGGACATTTTTAACAAACCCACACACCAACCATTTTAGGCCCGTTAAACACCCACACACACCCAAAAAACCCCAAAACACACAAACCACGTTAGGACTTTTAACACACCAACACAAAACGTTAGGACTTTTAACAAACACACCACACAAAACCCACGTTAGGAATGTAAACCCCAACACAACACAACCACGTTGGACTGTTAAAACCACCCCCACCAAACATTTGACATGTTAACCCACACCCCCCAAAAACCCACAAAAAACCCCACACAACCACGTTAGGACATTTTAAACAAACACCACACACACACAACACTTGGAAAGTTAACACACCCACACACACACAACCACGTTGGCCCCTGTTAACAACACACACCAACCAACACCACGCACCACACCCCCAAACCAGTTAGGACATGTTAAAACCAACACAACAAAAACCCAAACCCACAAAAAAACCACGTTGGGGACTGTTAACACACACCCCCCCACAACCCACTTTAGGACATTTTAACCCAAAACCCCCACAAAACCAAAACCCACTTAGGACATGTTTAACACACAAAAACAACCCACAAAACACAACACAACAAAAAACCCGTTAGGCCCTTAACAACACACACCCCCCAACACACCCCCCAACAACGTTGGACAGTAACACACCACCCCCCAAACCACTTGGACAGTTAACAACACACACACACAACCACGTTGGACATTTAACCAAACACCACCACCCCCAACCACGTTAAATGTTAAACAACACCCCCACACACAAAACAACCACTTAGGACATGTTAACACACACACAAAACACCACACACAACCACTTAGGCATTTTAAACACACAAAACCAACCCACTTGGGGCTGTTAACCCCCAACACACACCAACCACGTTAGGCATGTTAAACCACACCCCCCCAAACCCAAACCCCACGTTAGGACTGTTAAAACAACACCCAAACCCAAAACCACTTAGGACATTTTAACAACACACCCACCCACACCCTTAGGGACATTTAAAACCCCCACCCAAAAACAACCCGTTAACATTTTAACACACCCCCCCACCCAAAACCACGTTAGGACATGTTAACCACACACCCCCCACACCCCACACCCACTTTAGGACTTTTTAACACACACACCCCCAAAACCTTTTTAGGACAGTTAACAAAACCCCCAACACCAAAACAAACCCGTTAGGAATGTTAACACACCCCAACACACCAAACCACTTTTAGGAATTTTAACACACACCACACACAACCACTTTGGAAGTTAAAAACCACACACACAACCCCATTAGGACATGTTAACACACCCACCCAAAACCCCCACCACTTTAGGACCAATTTTTAACACAACACACAACACAACACCAAACCACGTTAGGAATGTAACACCCCCCCCACACACCAAACAAACCCAAAACACAAAAACCCCCCACTTAAATGTTACCCCCCACCCACAAACCAAAAAAACCCCCCCCCCAACACCCCCGTTTTTTAATGTTCACCCCACACACCAACCTTTTTGGACATTTTAACACACACAAAAACCACACCAAAAACCACAACCACTTTAGGACATTTTAACAACACAACAACACCACACACAACTAACAAACAAAAACCCCCCGTTAGGACTGAAAACCACCCCACCCACACAACCACTTTAGGACTTTAAAACAACCACACACCCCCAAACCCACGTTAGGACATTTTTAACACACAAAACAAAAACCCAAAAACACAACACAAAAAACCCCCTTTGGGGACATTTTAAACACCCACACACCCACAACCACGTTAAAATGTTCCCAAACACCACCCCCACAACCCCCTTTTGAATTTTAACCCCCCCCCCCCCCCCCCAAAAACCCCCCCCCCCCCCCCCCCCCCTTTAGGGGAGGGAAACCCAAAACACAGCATGAATTTAAACACAAAAAACACCCAAATTTAAAATCTAAAAAATGGCCCGTCAAGTATTATTTCCTTTTAAGTGTAACAGAGGTCTACTTCCTTTAAGTGAAAGAGGTCTACCCCTATAGGGAAAGGGTGCCATTCTCTGGTTTAAAAGTAGTGCACTTATGGGAATAGGGTGCCTTTCTCTGGTCTAATTTGCACTATTGGGAATAGGGTGCCATTCTCGGGGTTAATGTAGGCCTTATGGAATGGGTGCCATTCTGGTCTAAAGGTGCCTTTTTGGAAAAGGGGCCATCTCTGGTCAAATGTGCTCTATTAGGGAAATAGGGTGCCTCTCTGTCAAAGTAGTGCACTATATGGGAAAAGGGGTTTCCCATTCTTGGTCTAAAGGTGCTTAAAAATGGAATGGGTGCCACCCCCTGTCAAAAGTAGTGCTCAAATTTTGGAAATGGGGGCCCTTTTTGGGTCTAAGTATTGCATTATAGGGAATAGGGTCCTCTCTGGTCTAAAGTAGTGCTCTATATATGGAATAGGGTGCCATTCTCTGGTCTAAAGTAGTGCACTATATATGGAATAGGGTGCCATTCTCTGGTCTAAAGTAGTGCTCTATATATGGAATAGGGTGCCATTCTCTGGTCTAAAGTAGTGCACTATATAGGGAATAGGGTGCCATTCTCTGGTCTAAAGTAGTGCACTATATAGGGAATAGGGTGCCATTCTCTGGTCTAAAGTAGTGCACTATATAGGGAATAGGGTGCCATTTGGGACGCTTCTGCAGACTGGAGTATGATGTCAGTATGATGTCAGTATGATGTCAGAACTAGAGCGGTGCATGGTAGGAAGGGAACTCACTGTTGCATTCTGGGACAGCCTGGGCGTGTGCTGTGGCTCCAAACAGGAAGCACAGCGTGATGAACTCTGACCTCATCATCATCATCCTCTCCTCCTACCTGACATGACACACACACCAACACACACACACACACACACACACACACACACCAACACACACACTTTAAATACTTCAATCCACAAATGACATCACATTTGCATAGAATTATTATATCTCACCTGGGGTCATACAGATGGACAGTTATACAGATGGACAGTTATACAGATGGACAGTTATACAGATGGACAGTTATAGAGTTATACAGATGGACAGTTATACAGACGCCTGGACAGTTATACAGATGGACAGTTATACAGATGGACAGTTATACAGATGGACAGTTATAGAGTTATACAGATGGACAGTTATACAGATGGACAGTTATCCAGATGGACAGTTATACAGATGGACAGTTATACAGATGGACAGTTATACAGATGGACAGTTATAGAGTTATACAGATGGACAGTTATACAGACGCCTGGACAGTTATACAGATGGACAGTTATAGAGTTATCCAGATGGACAGTTATGCAGATGGACAGTTATAGATTTATACAGATGGACAGTTATGCAGATGGACAGTTATACAGATGGACAGTTATGCAGATGGACAGTTATCCAGATGGACAGTTATTTATGTGTCCTCTACGCCACCAACAATAACAGCTGACACAGCAACAACATCTCATAATTTCCCTTCGAAATTCCACAAATTATGGATGATGGTCTATTTTTGATGAATTCATTACGCTTTGTTACAGGGATTATTCCGCTTGGTTACAGGGATTATTCAGCTTGGTTACAGGGATTATTCTGCTTGGTTACAGGGATTATTCCGCTTGGTTACAGGGATTATTCTGTTTGGTTACAGGGATTATTCCGCTTGGTTACAGGGATTATTCCGCTTGGTTACAGGGATTATTCCGCTTGGTTACAGGGATTATTCCGCTTGGTTACAGGGATTATTCTGCTTGGTTACAGGGATTATTCCGCTTGGTTACAGGGATTATTCCGCTTGGTTACAGGGATTATTCTGCTTGGTTACAGGGATTATTCCGCTTGGTTACAGGGATTATTCCGCTTGGTTACAGGGTTAAAACAGAAACAACTCAAAGGGTAACAGTTTAGGCATTAATTCAGAGTGGCTAAAGTTAGGACTATGGTTTGGGGAAGGCTTAAAACAAAATAATTACTAACGGTGCGCTATTACAATCAGGTATCATCAGTATTCGCAGTCTTCTCGCAGCTTGCTGGAGCATTTACCATCAGGTATCATCAGTCTTCTCGCAGCTTGCTGGAGCATTTACCATCAGGTATCATCAGTCTTCTCGCAGCTTGCTGGAGCATTTGGAATTGCCTTAGCGCAGGTTTTTTTTATTTTTATGATCACCGAGGAAGGCATATATAGACATTCTCAGGACCTTTTCAAACGACCGAAATCGAATATTTCTAGATATCAGGCTGGGCACAGAGCAATGCCTTGACACAGATCATCATCCAAGGGTTAGGTTAAGGTTAGGGTTAGCTTAGGGTTAGGCAAGGCAAGGTCTCTGCACAGGCCTACAGTTATTCATCATTGTCCCCACCACCAGAGAGTGAGAAGGCAGGGAAGAAACCACCATGTAGCTACCTATGGGCTGCTATACAGAGGTAGAAACCACCATGTATCTATCTATAGGCTGCTATAGTCTACATATTCATTTAGTTTGTCATTCTATCGTTTTCATCGAATTTCTGTGGTAAATAAATGTAATTGATTTAGAATGTATCTGAATTAATTTTCCAGAAATGTTTTTACCAGCGCTGTGTTTCTCAACTTGAAAAAAGGTGAGGGAGCGCCTCTCCCCCTTGCTAAGGCAGCACTACATCCCTGGCTGAACACCACACACACACACACACACACACACACACACACCACACACACACACCACCACACACACACACACACACACCACACCACACACACCACCACACTCCACACTCACACTCACACTCACACTCACACTCACACTCACCCACACACAACACACAATACAAACACACAAATACAACACACACACACACACACACACACACACACACACACACCACACCACACACCCCACTCACACACACACCCACACATCACACTCACACACACTCCACACTCACACTCACACCCACACACACACACACCACACACCACACCACACACACACACCACACCACACACACAAACACAACACCCGACCCACACACCTCACACACCACACACACACACCCCACACACACCTCACCCCCCACTCACACACACACCACACCCCACACCCCCACAACCACACACCACCCTCCACAACACCACCGTATCTCCTTGCCCCGCCAAATAAAATATTGTAGGATAATTGGAGCTTCCCCAAACTTGAAACTCACGAGCTGCCTATGGTCTTTACTATAACACCCATTAACAAAATTCGGTCCCGTGAAAAAAACTGTCCCGTCTATATAGAACATCAAACTAATTCGTTCTCTGGCGCCGGCCTGGCCCTCCCTCTCACGGTAAGATCCGGTAACGCACGGTTTAACGGGGAGAACAGGGAGGCATGTTCTGCAAGGGGTGCGTTTCCAGAATTATACACACATTATCTGTGCAAACCTGAGCAGAAATCATTGTCTCAGAACCATACAACACCGATAAAACCGGTTATGATTTGTATCTGGG